ATATATATATATATATATATATATATGTCATGCGCCAATTTTTAAGCGTCCTATGTGTTATCCGAGGAAAAATGTAAGAGCAAATTTGAGCCGTTTTGGGGAATATTTGAGTTGCCTTTATTTCAAGCAAAAATTACGCGAAAACTGTTGGTGTTTTCAAACCTTTGTACATGACTATATATACTTAAACTATTTTTTAAACAAATTTCATTGACGAAGAAATCTTTAGCATCAATATTGTACTGTTGCAATGTAACGTCGCGTGGTGGGACGTAGCCGGCGGGTGAGCGATCTCTCTGGCCAATCAGCCGCCGGTCACCATACTCGAGTACACAAGCGGGCGCCTGCGGCGTCGTCGTCCTCCAGTCTTTACTTCTTCCGCAGTTCCCCGACGCTGCCGCCTAATCGCCACGCCACGGCCTCTCTCGCAAAAGTTCACGCGGCAGGCACTTGGAACTAACGTAATGTGTGTATAATATTAATCATTGTTTCTTAATAGAACCTTTTCCCCTGCCACGAGTTGGTGTAGGATTTACTCCTCTCCTGATAAGTCACATCATGGTGGGTTTTTTACGACCGAAAAATGTTTTTTTTTAATTTTCTTTGTCCTATTTTTTTACTCTTGTTCATCTTCAATTTTATTATTATATTTTGGTAAATAATACAACCGAAATTTTCGAAATGCAACAGGAAGCTCCAATAGGTATTGTAATGGATTATGGTAGCAAGACATCCAGCAGACACACACTATATGAATGAGTTAAAGCAGATGTGACATTTTATAAATTTTGAGAAATCTGTTTAAGTCAATATTACTGTAAAGTCGTAGGGCTTTATTTCATCATTAAAACCACTGCATTTCAATTGTTCACTTCCACTGAAATATAGCCTAAAATAAACACGTTTTTTATAAAATTTCACATATTGTTCTGGTTTTCACCCATTCATATGGTGTTCACTGAAGGTGGCAACGGACATAGAAAGAAATACGGGCCCAAATTCCAGCAGTGTCTTTATCATTTTATTATAAACGTTGAACAAAAGTTAGATTATAGCTTTAGTTAGTGTAAATCCAGTTCATTAGGAGCTGAGGAGCGCATCCGCGATAGGAGCTGAGGGATAAATTTGCAACATATTAATTTATTAACTAATACGTTGTAAATTAATTCCACATTGTAGTTATTTCTACAATGTCAGTTCGTTGCGAAGTAAACAGCAAGAGTTAAAATATAACATTACCAGTGATACGCAAGTTATGGAAATATATTTAAATTATTTTAATAATTAGTAGGCCGGCGTCGTTAGCCGAATTGAACTACTCCTCTCTGTGACGCCACGGAAGTTCAGCAATTCGGGACTCCACGGATTTCTAGGCGGTTTCAATCCGGGAACCCTGGTTACCAACGGCGCGAAGCCGAGACGTTTGTTATCTACAGGACAAACCACTAACTAATTTTCCAAGTTCCAGGCGGAGAGCGAAAGTGCATGCGAAGTTTGGCGTCGCAGCCCTCACACGTCACGAAGAATGCGGCGAGCCGGGCCGGCGACAATCCCGCGGATGGTATACCCGTCCCTACTTTGCAAAACCTCAGGCAACTAATCACGCCATATGCAACGTTTGCTCTCTTCCTTTCTTATTCAAATCGTTTTATTAATGGCGATTCTCAGACCTTTAGGCCTGTTATTCTTCCGTTTCCCCTGTCATTCTCCCTCCTTTCCCATATTCAATTATTCGACCCAGGAAACAAACTTCATGCACATTTTCTTGGAAAAGAAATCTCTAGTGCTCTACAATGCTGCCGGCTCAGCGCTCTGCAACGACAACGCATCAACTTCCGCAGCATTGACGTAACGTGCCGGGCCCGACAGCACGGTGGCTCGGTTCCGTTGAGGCAGCCAACGCCACGCGCTGCGGTTCCCACACGCACCACCGCCAACGCAGCAGAACAAGCTCTTTCTCCAGAGCATCGCATGCGCGCTGCATTTCTTTTCATCAGCCATTTCTCTAGCCTAAATGTTGCGCACACCGCTCTTGTTTGTTGGCTTCCATCTCTCGGTCCCGTTTGGCGTTCTTCTTATTGAGGAACGCCCCTTATTTTAGTCCCTTTTTAATACATTTTTACCCTGACGTCTACTATTTTTTAATCTGCCTTGGCTTTGGCGCAGATTTGTACGCAATCATGCACACTGCCTTGGTCGGGCAGCGCTTGACATTGGCAGACCTATCACTGTGAGGAGACGTTGATACAATCATCTCTCCCATTAGCAGGCTGCAGTCAGTGGTCCTCGCGGGTGTCTCCTCTCTGTGAGAAGAGCCCTGCTCTTAGATTGTCCGACCGGGTTGGTGATAGTTCTATGACGGTGAGGAGACGATGGAAGAACCACCTCTCCCACTAGCAGGCTGCAGCCAACATGCCCTCGCCTATCGCCTGTCTGGGGAGGGAATAGAGCCCGGAGCTTGGATTGTCGGACAGCACTTGACATTTGCAGACCAGTGCCAGTAAGGAGACGTTGGTAAAACCATTTCTCCCACTGACAGGCTGTATTCATTGTGACCTCGCAAATGGTTCCCATCGAAAGTCCCTCTGCAATTATAATTTTTCTTTTTTTCACTCATTTTTTTCAAACAAGAGCAGTGTCAGCACGTATGGTTCTCTCTTTTTGGTATGTATTATGTAGATATGGTAAATTATTTTCATTATTAGGATAAGAAATGCTTTCAAACCTGCAGAATATTATATCCAATATTTTTTTTTAAT